GTTTCCTGCGGGGGAAGGAGATTTTATAAGAATAACTCACAGATAATGGAAGAAAAAAGCAAATACCATGAGTGGTCATGGTAGGTTTATCGCTGATGTCAACAGTCGGACTGATCTGGGATCCTTGTAATCAGTGCGGCGAGCGCCGCCCTATCACAAGCAATCCAAATCTAAGGAATACTCCGGGCTGAAATAAATCTGACTTATGGCTTAACAGGACATTTATGAAGGCAGACAAATTGAAGAAAAAAGTGTCTCGAAAAGAAAAATGTATTCAGCAAAGTGGTATTGAAATATAAATGATATCAAATAGTCCTTGAATGTGCTGTGCAAATAAGTGCGCCCCCACAGAATCACAAACAGACACCCAACAGGAATGCACATCAAGGGTCATTCTACTTTTCCTGCCTTCAGCCTTTCCTTTTCGTTTGCTTCTTCCATCTGCTCTCCTCCATCCTCTCTCCTATTGCCGCTCTCTCAATCTCTCCTTCTGTCTCTCTTTCTCTCTGTGAAGGTCATGCAATTGATTTTCCTCTGTCTATTCATTTTTCAAGACTGGCTTTGAAACGTGGGAAGCAGACAAAAGCCACTCTGGCCCCTCCCCTCCACTCCATCCCTCTCCTCTCCTCTCCTCTCCTCTCCTCCACCTTCTACCTTCCTTCCCTCTTTGCTGGCCCTCGTCCATCTGAAAACCCTTGTACAAGAGGGAATGTGGAGGAATGCAACCCCCCTCCTCCCTCCCCTCCTCCCTCCTCCTCCCTCCCCCTTCCTTCCCTCACTTCTCTCCTTCCTCCTTCCTTTCCTCTTTTTGTCTTTATTCCCTCTACATTTGGCCCTTCCCCTCCTCTCTCTTTCAGCCACATCTCCCACCACATTCCACTAACGGAATTAAAGTCATGCATCACACTTAAAACCCTGCCAATGCATTGTGGGTAGACTTGTTCGAACTGATGTCCAAATTAGTATTGCGTTTTCAGCATTGGCCGTGCGCAGGCTGTGTGATGTGAGCTGCTTGAATAACTCTTAAAACATTGAGGAGGTTTCAGCTTCTGCCCTGGCGGGCAAATAGTTAAAGTCCGGCTTTAGCTGCCATTTTTTGGGGCCGAAGGGGCGTGCTAGTCAAACCCATCGTCTTCACCTGTCCACTTTTTTACAGTTACTGTTCACTTTTAGACAAGACGTGGCACACACTGCGTTTTCAACCAAGGTCGACCAAAACCTGGAACGCTGTGGAAAAACAATTCCGTCCTTGTAGAGTGCAGTCAAGCCCACAGATCAAGTGTATATATATATATATTATTTTGATTACTCAGATATACATATCACGTTGCACACAGGACGGATTAGATTTTGATTGATTTCATTGGTTTCGCCATTAACAATATTTTAGATACAATGGTTTTAAATCAAGACTCACTGTATGTGGATTACACAGTTTAAATCCAATTACTGGGACATGTTTGGGTTCCAGTTAGATGGTCCATTTAAAAAGTCAGATAGTCACAGTCATGGCTATGAATCAAACCTTTGTATAGGATTTATAGGATTTATAGGATTAGCGAGTTCTGTTAAAAGTAAAGTCAGAGTTTTCAGCATCACAACGGTGGCTCTCATCAACCTGGCGAGATCAGTGCGATAGCAGTTTATGTTCAAAGTTTCGGGTTAAATATTCCAAAAAGAGTTATCCTTTCCTGTAAATCTTTTCTCGATGATGTCCTAGACAGCAAAATCAGACCGAAGCAACATTTAAATGTCATCATGGAGAATGCACTACTGAATCTATATTGATTCCTGACATGATACACAAACTGAAAGCACTTGATTGACTTTGAATAGACAATGGATTGTTCAAAAACACTGACAGAAAGTCAATATTTTAACCTTCTCCTTAAAAGCCAGTCAGTGAATTTAGACGTTGATTAAATGTCGGCATTTTATTCAGCAAATTTAACCATCATGCAACTCCAACGTCACTGCATGCTGTGACGCCTCTCAGCGGTGGGAAATTGTTATATGTAAAAACCAGTTTGTCCATCATTGGATCACGAGACCCATACATTTAGCTGATGTGTCAGAATAAACCACACGTGGTTGCATTGCATTCTACACCTTCGTATCAACAATATTACATCAATTAATTAGTTTTCGTTTTATTATGGGACATATGAGGCCCAATAGCTGAATCATATGGGCTTTGCTACTTTGCTAAACTAACCTTTTGTCTTTTCAGAAAGAGCCTTCAACTGTAGTAAGACGGTCACATTCAGCAGGAATTATTTTTACGATCTTATGAATGAAATATCAAGCCAAAAGCGATGAACAAAAATAAACTAAATGCCATAGAAATGAAAATCAGACACCCATAAACAGGCAAGTTCGGAGTGGTGAAAGCCTCTGATGGAGGTAATGGTTTTGTTGCCATTTCTCTTTGTTTGCAGAAGTCCTGACAAAAATTTCCTGAAATTTGGTGGAGAGGTGTAACTACCTAAAAGGAAGGCACTCACTTAATTTTTTGTGCCAACCTAAATTGTTTTCTACAAACTTGCAGCAAAAGGGCAACGTCCTTAGCGGAGCTTTGCAATCACCGAGTGTCTTTCAAGTCCAAAGCCCAGGAGCTGAGGCAGAAGCTTGTTTTCAGCATTGTTAGCGTGCTTGTTTGTATTTCTGTGAGTAACAGAAACATGGCCAGATTACGCCCAGAAAAAACATTGATCTAAAACTGCAAAATAAAGCATTGACCTTTGCAGAAGTCTGTGCTGTCAGACTACCCTTTGCATTTTTGATTCCGATGGACAGCATCACGTGTAAGGTAGAAATTTATCTCAAATATCTTTGTAATCTAAGAACCATCTTTATTATTCAGTTTATATTTCAACAAGTCTATTGCTCAACAACAAAAATATCAAAACATGTATGAAAGTAATTTTTCTTACTACATGTTTAAATTGAATTCTTAGTCATTCATGCTTATGAATTAAAGATCACAAGATTAGCTGATGAGTTTAAGCCTCTGGCGATGGTTCTGTGATGTTTAAATAAGTTATTACATATTAAATAGAGGTATGTCTCGTAAGAAGCAGATTAAAGAGGTTTAGCCGAATATACCCAGGTAAAGTCCCCGTTATGCTCCAATGTGTGTTTTTTAGACAGATGATAAAAATGTCCTATACTGTGCTATTTGACCCTTCTAACACTTTAAAGTTTGCACTGAGGATTTTTTCCCCCAAAGAAAATTAATATTTTTGTGATGCTTCATAGGAAAATGATCAAAACCTGAAAAAGCAATGACATTACACACACTTCCTTTGGCACTGCGTACCTGAACCGAGTGGTAAGGATGGCTGTGGTATGCTTACTTCTTCAAAGTCAAATTTACAATTAGACACAGTGCAGAGTTATTTGGCACAAACTGTGCCGCATGGAGGCGCGCTCAGTGGTGATAACATGACTGTCTTTTGCCTGCCTTTCCTCAAATTTGGTTTAGGGCAAGCACAACCGCACATTTGTAATTGTACTGTCGCTGCATCCTTTCCTTTCAGTAATGGTAGCAATTAGACCAGCAGTATAATTACACTGTCTTCGTCATATAGTTAATTTCCGTAATTACAAATTACGCCAATAGTTTCCTGCCTCTTTGTGTGTCTGCTCTCCTTGTTTTGTCTGTTGCTCTTTCATACATGCACATGCTTGCCTTTTTCGAAGTCTGTTTGGTTGTATAAACATTTACACTGTGTTTACACAGACTTGAGAAAAAGCATGGACACAGAATCACCTCATTAACCGAAAAAAGCCGAGGCAATGACACCGTGGACTATGGGAGACGGATAACTTTGTGAGTGGGATAATCATGCATGTATATATATATATATATATACATAATTATAGTACATCTGAATCCACTGCACTGACTTTGGCTTCAGGTTTCTTGAATGCCTATTTTGTCAGATGATGCTGCAGTCAGGGTTTTATTAGGACACTACAAGAGACTGTGAGGTTCTGACTCATTTTGCTTTACAGCAAAGATTTCTGAGATGTTTAGCCGTCTGACAGAAGAAGAAAAATATCTAAACCACTTTTTAAGAAATTCAGCTGTATTGTTTGACAGTACCTTGACAGTAACTTTAAAAGGATGGAATGTGAACCATGTAGGACCCCCTTAGATCTATTTGAGTGTAACTGTACATTTTGGCTGGGTTTAGACGCATAGTGATGGCCATGTGTTTTTTTCAGTCCACATTTGGTCAGACTAGTATGGTCATTTGTGTTTTGTTGTTTGCTAATAATAAACAGAGCATTTAGGTGGCTGTTTCAGTGTGTTTTATATGAGACGTGGCCAAATGGAACGGCCGAAGGATGTGTTGTTGAGGCGGTACACGAGCAAATCAAGCTGTTTAGGACTGCCAACACAAAAACGTAAACTAAAACGTGAGGTCTGTGTTCATTTAGAAACAAATAAGCACATTTATATCTGCTTTAGTTCTCTCAGATCAGACACATTCATTATTGATGATGATTTGATTCTGCATACTTTCATTCACTTGGTAAGGTTCACATTCGTGGAAGATAAGCCTATCGCAACCCAGAGAAAATAATAAAAATCACTATGAATCGCTCCAATTTTTCTCTTCAAGGCTGAAACCAGAATTTTAAATAACAACTTTTTTACCCGTTATGTACAATTGGAAAATATGATTATCTTAACTGAAGAAATAGAAAAAACAATCTATCCCTCCCCAGGTTACCGACAATGAAAATCCGGGGGAAAATAACAATATTTATCCTTTCATTAGGTAAAATTAATCAAATCTAGTTCCACCGTCCTGCTGAGTGTATACCTGTTAACGCCACTGGATATTAGGAAGATGATTATAATGATGATGATCATTATGGGCTATGCTACAAATTATCCTTAGCTCTAAAAAAAAGAAAAGCAGCCTTACAAATGGCACAGAATGTACTTTAAAGCACAAAGGACTCATTAGCTAAAATCTTTGGCCTTTTCACTTGCCTTTGTTGCAATTGCTGTCCCCTTCCAACAGGGGGCTCCACGGCGGGTCACCCTGGCTGGCGAAGGTGCGCATGTGCAGGTAGCTGATGGTCAGGCGGATGACCGAAGCCTTGTCCAGCTGGCTGGTGATGGCCCCGGGTAGCGGCAGCATCTTGGCCAGCTCAAAGAACTCGAAATTCTCCTTACCCCGCCGGGAGCGGGCCGCATTGCGAGATTTCTCTTTACGCAGGTTCTGGAGACTGAGAGATGGACACGACATGACGCGTTTAGAATGGAGGAGACAGCGGTGGGGGACAGACAGAAGCAAAAAAAAATAAAGGAGCAAATGTATGCATGGAAGAGCAGAAAGATCAGAAGGGCAGAGACTATAGTCTGAATCAGCAAAGTGTAAAGCGAGAGGAACTGGTGTCACTTTATGAGAGGAACTCCCATTCATATCACTTAACGGTCATTTACTGGCCACCTGTTGATTGAATTATGCTTTGTATAAACGACCTCAACCCCAATCCAGAAAATTAATTTAATAAATACATAAATTGGTGATGGCGCTTGCAATCAAAGTGGAGGGGGGAAGAAAAATCTCCATTCTGGCTCATTCCTTGCAGATCTGTCTGGTAATTGCAGACAGGCTCTTTGCTTCTATCTGGTAGAACAGAGTCCTAATAATACTATTTGCTACAAAATCCATATGTGAACACATGCACAATCTCTCACTTTCCCTTGCTCCCTGCAAGCCCCTCTGACTCTCCCTCATCTGGTCCCGAGCTGGTGAGCTGGAGCTGTGATTGAGGGATCAATAGAGGAGGGAGGGGCGGAGTGACAGAGGGGGGCCGGGGCTCAGGTAGCCTGTCTCTGTGATTGGGTATTGACTCTGCTCAATGGGGCCTGAGTGGTGGAATTATGTTGTCACAGCCACTTCACAATTTGTGTCGGTGCTGCGCTAGAATAAAGTGTGTGTATGTGTGTGTGTGTGAGACATTCTCCCTTGTGTCTGCGCTGTTCTCATCCTAAGAAAGGCCACCGGTGTTGTGCGTGCATTGCTGCAATAGACAAGTGGAAAACGAAAAAAAAAAAGGCGCTAAGAGAAGAGTTGCACATATGTTTATATCTTAATCGGCTGACGCAGCTGTTGTAATTCACCCTATTTGTGAAATCAGTGCGTCTCTGCAAGTGTCTGTGGACTCATGCTGCCAGCCTCTGTAACATCTCATTATTATACTGCCTCGACCCCAGCCACCGAGAACAATCGATACACACACATTGATTCTGCTTAGTTTTTATATCCGCCTGTAAATGACTGGCCATTAATAATTCCAGCCAAATTTACTTAATCTCCTTCAAGGGGAGGGGATTCACGGTTCTGACAGGATTGGCAGGTGAGCAACAATGCGAGTGAAATGTAGCACGGAGGAGAACAGACTTTGCTTTTCTGCTTTGTGTATCATTGATGGGAAACCCTTCATCGTGCTGTCATTGTGTGCAAGGGTGTCAACCCGTGGATTTCACCTTGCCGAGATTAATTCATGGGCATGCACACAGGCTTATACAGTATGGGTCTGTGTGTGTGTGTGTGTCTGTGTGTGTGGTGTCTCACCATGGTAGGGTGGGAGGCTTGGCAAGTAGTCCTTGTAGGAAATCCCACTCCACACTCACACATTTCCCCTCGCTGACAAACGGCATAGTCGCCATCCTTCTTCCAATTCTGGGCCGACGCTGCTGTTAACGAAGGCTATGATCGTCTCGAGATGTGACACACCTAGACCTGGATGTCCGGGAGAGGCAGCAGAGACACAAAAAGGAGTAATAAATCAAGTGCATTGGTGCGGTCACCAACGCTAACTCTAAAACGGTCATGAACTTAACAGAGGAGGGAACATATGTGATCACATTCCGATGAAAGGAGCGTGTTTACCTGAAATACACACCAGAGCTCTGAGATAGCGTGGAACATATTCCCCTTATTTAGAATGTTTGACTTGATTAGTAATGTTCAATGTTTTCTTTATCGACTTGAAAAATGCAGTTCTGTTTAAAGAAATTATCACAGATTTGTACTCTCACTATGGGACAAACACTATGATGTAACAGAAAGAGAGAAAAAAAGAAAGAAATACAGACATACAGAAAGGATCAAATGCAGAAAGACCTAAATAAAAGTCAGAAAAAGAAAGAAGGGAAGAAATAAGAAAGAAGGGAAGAAAAGAAACAAAGAAAGAAAGAAATAAAGAAAGATTAGGCTTTATATATACCGTAATTGCCCGCTCTAAGGTCAGTGGCTGTTCCCAAGGTAATAGATACAAGACCAACCACTAACCCTCCTTTGAAGTCACAATTAGACAGAAAATCACAGATCTGTAAATGTCTTACCCCCCCCCCCCCCCCCCCCCCCCTTCTCCTCTAGAGATTAGTCCAACTTGTGACTTGAGTTCAGACCAAACATCTGAACAGAAAACACACTGTCCATCGTCCGTTCTCCTTTAAACCACTTTCTGCTTTCCTCCCAGCCCTCCTGCAGTACGAGTTGCCAATATTCTCGGCTGTCCTCAAACAGAGCGGCGCTCCTCACCAGTTTGCCTCCCCTCTGCGTGGTGTTGACATTTAAAGGGCTGGTATGGCTCCGAGCCCCTCGGTGTCATGCCCTTGGGCCTGAGATGCCCTCTTCCCTCTTTCCACCTCTCCCTCCCCGTCTCTCTCTTTCTTTGGGCCGACTGGGTCAGCACAATCGTGTCAGCAGAGGTTTGCCAGGGCACAGGAAAAATGGATTATGTCTCGAGTTTAAGCATGGCCACGCTGACCTTGGCTAAGAGGGGTCAGCGAAAAAGCCGGGCAGGTTTGGCAGATATCATTTCACAAATCTGAGCTCAAACGGCCCAGATTAAATGCATGCAAGAAAACTTCTTGGACTGATTTCAAAGGCACAAAAAGTCAATAATAAGTTCAACAAAGAAAGACAGGGAGATGGGGTCATCTCGCATGGTCTTATTCTGTGTTTAAGCAGCAACAGTGAGGCAAAAAAGGAGCACTGTTCATTTCTGCTGTGGCCCCGGGTCAGTGACTTATAAAGTGGATTAACAAAAGAGTGAACACTTAAATATTAACTATACGAAAAGCAGGCATTATTAGATCTTGAAAACAGCACTAAAAGGTGACGGGAAATGTATGCAGATCACCTGAGAAGTGGGCTTCATTTCCTCCATGCACTGCCACCCGGTCAACTTTAACAGAGTATTTTAACATTGAGGAGTGCGGTAGACGCTATGGCAAAGCCTAAACAACAGTTAGGCTGATCTATAGCCCAGCATGAACCTCACACTCTGCCACTGAAAGATAGAAAAAAGTGTGGGGCAAATCCAACTGAAACAAAACCAAAGGCCTTTTCCACTTTCTCCACCTAGTCTTGCGTGTTAGTAAATCCTTAAACTTTCACAAACGAAATCTTCACAACTTTGCAAAAATGCCAAATTACAAAGCAGAGAGAGGTTGTTGGAGTTACGCCACAATGTTATCATAGAAACTTTTAATCCAAACTTGGACGTGGTTAGAATGAGACAAATATGGATTTTAACAGCAATCTATCAGATGCGGTCAAGAGCTTCTGATATTCTGCAAGCAATTAGTGACACTGAAAAGTAATTCCATTCTGTCCAGTTTTATTTGTGGAGCACCAGATCATAAGTGTCAGCAACTTAGGGTCTGCTAGACTCACTGAAGTCCTTTTTCTGACACAGCAGCTGGGAGCAAAACACCGTAAGGTCCACAGAAACGTAACCGAAACCGTTTAACTGACCTTTTTCGCAACATCTGAAATACTTGTGTAATCTTTGGTTTAGAGTCATACAGATGCCTGCAGAGATGGACACCAAACAAATGGAAACTGTGTGAATTACTGATGATAAAAGCCAGTAAGACCAGAAGGCAAAGGCAAATTTAAGTTAAAAAAGACAGAAAATAACACAGCTGACTTAATAAGTCTGATCCATCCTAAAACATTACATTCACATCAACGTGACACTTTGGCCCAGCTATGGTTTCGAGATGACGCCTCTTTCAGCCAGAGAGAGCCTGAACGTTTTACTTTTATGCTACAAGTCTGCAACATTGACAGTCCTCATCTCAGAGAAGCCGGTTAGAAGGAGACAGGGTCAAGCAGAGGGCAGCGCACCTCTGTCTAACAACTTCACCTTTGTCACCTTCCCTGCCTCACCTGGATAAATGCACTACATGCCAAATTAGGCTGTGTGCGGTAGGACAGAGGGATCAAAAGGAGAAACAGGCAGGAAACAATTTCCACAGCCTCGAACACACAATACACAGCCTGTGTCCATCCCATATCTGTATGTTTATCTCTTAATTGACCCTATCTGCGCTGATCTAATCTCTCCTCCCATCTTTCTGTCTCAACCTATCTCCCCATCTCTCTTTGACTGCTCCCTCTATCTGAGCAGACACAGGGCCGTAATGGACAGGAGCCTCCACAGTAATTATTCAATCAGCCTCATAACCTTGTCGCAGGTTGGGCGGCCTATTAATGCACTCACCCAAATGCACCCCCGCCACTTTGACTGCTAATGCTCCGGCTAGTGAGCAGAACAACAGGCTGAATGTCAGAAGTGTCATCCGCGTGGAGTGTGTGAGACCCACTCGACGGGGGCCGAGACGCCTTATCCCGCCACGGCACCGGGGGGAGAAACCCACGGAAGGAGAAGGCGTGAAAAAAAAAACCCCGAATCCTCCCACATACCGGGGTCCGCCGCTGTGGGGATGAGCTCGTATCAAGTGTGACCGCAGGTGTTCGGATTGTGTTGCCGCTGTGCTACATATTCATTAGCGTTATGTGTGTGCGTGTGTGTGTGTGTGCGTGTGCGTTTCAGACCCCTACCCTATAGAGCCGTGCTCTCTTGGCACCGACTCAACTGCAACAGAGAAGAGGGCACTGCAGCGAGCGCTCACAGCCGCTGTTCGCTGCTCGCTTTGGCTCCTGCTCTGTTTATTTTCAGAAGGGACGTTTAATTAGGGCCTCCAGCTGTCAGAGGTTCGTTAGCGCGCCCCTCCTCTCCCCGAGCCGCCCCTCCCCGTAGGGAGTCGGGGGCATCAGGCAAATGAACACATTTAAGTCAAACTGCACGCCGACAGACAATGGCTCCACCGCCATGCCCACCAGCTCCCCGAGGTAGAAACATGGTTGTTTTATGCCTCATCTCCACAACCCCCGGGGCCCAATACAGAGTCTGTCCAAGAC